CACCAACCCTCGCTGCTGCCTGCCACGGTGCTGGGTTACAGGCAGCCACGCGCGTAGCCACCGCTACTGGGCACGTGACAAATTTTGGCGTCGTGCAGGATTCCACAGGCTCTTAAATACAACACATTCCTGCGGAGGGAGCTGGTAGGAACGTTGGGTTGCTCGGTCAATGGCCAGGGTCAACGGCGGCGTGGTGTATTTCGCAAATATGCCCGACTGTGAGGGCGGGCACAAGCCGGCGTGAGTAGGTTAAACGTTGAGTTTTATAAGGGCACCACGGGGTGACCAGCCCCTCCCCACCCAGCCCCACCCCTCCCACCCCCTACCCAGCCCCACCCTCCCCACCCAGCCCCTCCCCACCCTCCCCACCCAGCCCCTCCCCACCCTCCCCTCTCCACCCAGCCCCACCCCTCCCATTTTTGGATGCACGACGGACGGACACAATAATCCCCTGTGGGCTGGTGTAACCAGGAGGTTCCTACCAGTATTATATTTTGAGAGCTTTGTCAAACCATGGGCAGATGAAGGCCTCCCTACACCGTTTATGTCGGTGAGGGAATTCATTTGACCATACCTCACCACACTTGGTCATCATGGCAGCTCCTTATGGCTGTGATAAGAAGCGGCCCAATTTGCAAGAATGCGAAGCAAAATCATAATTTGCCACGATCAGTCCACTGCTGGATGAGGGCCTGAGCCTTATATACGACTGCAACGTCATTATTGTAACGTTACTGATGGCCACACAGCTTTTCGGGGGTGAGGCGGTGGCCCGGTCCTTTACGTGCCGCACTACGAACCCGACGACCTGAGTTTGATTCCCGCCAATGGCTCAGATCAATGGGGAACTGGTCCTGTCGCTATGTCCCTCCAACTTCGTCAACCCGCGCTGGCCAGCGCGGTGAAGTGTGGGTGAAACAACGCCGCGTCACGGGCACGGCGGCATGGGTGAGGCATTAGTCCCGCAGCGGATTAACGAACGGCTGTAAATCGTTATTTATCCCTATCGTGAAATGCGGACGATGACGGAGTTGCTGCCAAAGGAATGCAAAGCGGCCCAGAGGACGTTCCACTGGAGGAGATGGAGCGATGGAATCAGCTCGCGTGAAGGTGCTTGGTAGATTGACAGTTAAATGCATCTCACATGTTTAACATGGCCATTATTCAGATAATCATTACAATGCGATTTTGTTCGACAGAATTGAAATTTGTTACGTTTTCAACGTTTTTTTCTTCAATATTCTGTCTCTTTAAAACGACTCCACGGATGTCAGGTCGCCCTGCAAGAGGTAATGTTGCACGCGTGTCGACGGGCACTGCGTTTTCATGCCAGTGGCCAATTCAAGAATGATGTTTACTCACTTGACATATAAACTCCCCCCCCCCCCCCGGCCAAAAAAAACATCCAAACAATCCCGTCGACAACAGAGTGGGCAATAAAGGGGACACACACAAACATCGAGAGAATGCGAGACGTTTCAGCCAGTTGAACACGTAGTGAGCTTTCGTGATCAATATTTTGCATAATAAAGGTTTTTGGGTTAGATCGCGTAAGGGGCCGTCCATATATGACGTCACGCACCTAGGGGGGGGGGTCAGACATTTGTGACGATATGTGACGAGGGGGGGGGGGAGGTTTGAGAAATATGACGTCACATCAAAATGCGCAACTTTAAATATAGACAACACGTTCTACTTAATTAAATAGACGTTTTAATAAATGTTTTCTCCTACACATTAAATACGCACTACAATGACAATAGTTTAAAGCGATTTGAAGCATGTTTAAAGTTTTTTTTGGGGGGGGGGGGCAGAAATTTGTGACGTCATATTTGAGGGGGGGTCTGACTTTTTGTGACGCCGTGTAACGAGGGGGGGGGGGTCAAAAATTGTGCAAAATCGCGTGACGTCATTTATGGACGGCCCCTTAGTATAAATGTGCAAATCGCCCCGATGATGCTGGATGTAATTATACCAGCGAAACGTCGTGCTACTCAGATTGTAAATGTTGTGGATTTACTCTCCAACACACGGGTGGGCTGAAGTAGTCACTAATTGGCGTTTGGTTGACGTGACAAATCCCTTACTAATTGGCTGTGTCGGGTGGTGGAGGGTTACGGCACATTTATACTATGGGGACCTCATTTGCCAGTAAAAATATGATAATTGGTTCTTTACCCTTCTATCTGGCAACAAAACTGACACCTTTTTGCAAGGAGTCATGTTTGCATAGACCGCAATACCTGCAGTCATAAATACAAACAAAAGACATAACTCTGATAATGTGCACTGTCCTTGAAGTTGATTGGTCCACACCCGAGACAGCTTTCCTTCGAGCCTAGTCTCATATGGGTTGGACCAGATGACGCCAAAAGGCGCACAACTCAAGGACAATGCACCATCAGAGTATGAGAGCTCGGGGCAAGCATCTACACTATGGGGACCTCATTTGCCAGTAAAAATATGATAATTGGTTCTTTACCCTTCTATCTGGCAACAAAACTGACACCTTTTTGCAAGGAGTCATGTTTGCATAGACCGCAATACCTGCAGTCATAAATACAAACAAAAGACATAACTCTGATAATGTGCACTGTCCTTGAAGTTGATTGGTCCACACCCGAGACAGCTTTCCTTCGAGCCTAGTCTCATATGGGTTGGACCAGATGACGCCAAAAGGCGCATCTACACTATGTGTGTAGATGCTTGCCCCGAGCTCTCATACTCTGATGGTGCATTGTCCTTGAGTTGTGCGCCTTTTGGCGTCATCTGGTCCAACCCATATGAGACTAGGCTCGAAGGAAAGCTGTCTCGGGTGTGGACCAATCAACTTCAAGGACAGTGCACATTATCAGAGTTATGTCTTTTGTTTGTATTTATGACTGCAGGTATTGCGGTCTATGCAAACATGACTCCTTGCAAAAAGGTGTCAGTTTTGTTGCCAGATAGAAGGGTAAAGAACCAATTATCATGGCACATTTATACTTACGCGATCTCACCCAACAACCTTTATTATCGACGTTTCAGCCATTGGCCCTTCTTCGTGGCACATGAAGCGGCAGGCCAGAGGTACATAAGAGCGAATGATAAGAGTTGGCGACTGAACCTTGTGTACAACATGGGCAGAGCTGGTGAGGATTCAACTGTAAACCTTTCTTCTGATGACCAACCTTGAAAATGGGCACGTGAATAGTTACCTAATAGCAGCTAATGAGCAGCAGACGCAGCCTTCCAGAATGAAAAGTGCATTTCCAAATGAACCCATTTCGATTAAAGGCTAAAACTAAATGTACGAGACTTTGCGCTGCGCACTGCGCGACGACTTTGCGGGGGAGGCCATCATCCAGCAGTGGATTGAGCATGCAGGGAGAGCTAGAGAGAGACACACATTAACTGCACGGGCCTTTTGAGCGGTTGAAGGGCCCCGCCCTTGCCGTACATTTGTTGATTGGAAGCCCCCTGGCTGAGATCACGACACCAGACACCTTGCCAGCAGCCCCAAGGCGAGCCGTGCAATCGGCGCCCCCCACAGCCCCCAAACCCCAAGGGCAAGCAGCATCTAGGCGGAGGGTTTTGTTAAAGTGGGCAACATTTTGCCTCCCCGTGTTTTCCGTTCAAATAAAAATAAGCTTTTTTTTTTTTTTAAACCAGAGTCATAATCATTCGGTGTTGTCCGTCCAACCAATACATTCTCAGAAATGTTGAGAAATTAATTATTAGAAGTCGCATTTCCCTCCGTACGCGCGCGGGAATTGAAATAATGACATCTTCGTTCTTGACATTTTAAATTCCCCACCGCCCCTCGCATTTGGCGCGCGCGCCCCCGCCACCCACCGCCCTCGTTGGCCCACGCGGACGAGGGCCCCCCCCCCCCAGACCTCGGCCCTCGTGGGGGGCACGAGCCCCCCCCCCAGACCTCGGCCCTTGTGGGGGGCACGAGGCCCCCCCCCAGACCTCGGCCCTCGTGGGGGGCACGAGGGCCCCCCCCAGACCTCGGCCCTCGTGGGGGGCACGAGGCCCCCCCTCAGACCTCGGCCCTCGTGGGGGGCACGAGGGCCCCCCCCCCCCGTCCAGCAGGGAAGGGCCACGCCTCGGCCCCGTCGCTCGACTCGTAGCTCGCGGCACACCGAGACGCCCATTTGTCCGTCGGTATTGACGCCGTCGAGATAACGGTGACACATTATTCTTGTGTCCTCATATTGTGTTAACAGGCAGCAACAGCATCAACAGCAACAGCATCATCATCAACAACAGCATCATCATCAACAACAACAGCATCCTCATCAACAACAACAGCATCATCAACAACAGCATCATCAACAACAGCAGCAACCAAGCAGACACGTCATGAGTTGATTTTTTGCTGCTGCGTTTGGCAATGGTGCACACGCACAATTAACAGCAACGGCTTAACACATCAATCAATAAATAACACTGTCGCCCTAAAAGGAATTAAAAAAATTACCCGATACCAGTGAACGTTACGCCCAATGGCCCTCCTCCACAGCACATGGAGGCACAGACACAATAACATAATGATTTACACACACACACACGCGCTTGTTTATCGCTGATAATTTAAACGAAATAAACACGGAACGTCGTGTTGTCACGATGTACATTATGAAATCGTTAACGTTTAAGCGATATTAACATCATAATTTATGATTATTGTGAGCGGTTATGGTTCGTCAATCCACTGCTGGATGAAGGCCTGTGAGTGAAAGGTGTCTCGAGCACCGACCGCACACACAACCAGAGCGTGCACGACATCAATCACAAATTCCGAAATAGCCAATTGCATTTTCAAGACAGGCGTCGCCTCGCCTCCGTAGTCGCCTCTGGCTCGTCACAGATGGGCGCGCTCATCATCCTAGCCGTCACATTAAAACACGCAAACAGCAACAAAAAACATCCGAGGCCTACATTTGAAAATAAATACAAAGCGAAGACGTGCCCAGTCTCATGGCCGAGGGGTGAAGCGAGAGGCAGCGTCTTACCCGTCCGGCATAAAAAATCCTCTCGCTCTCTTCCACGATCCTCCTCCTCCTCCCTCGTTCCAGCCACGCCCGCCAGTGATGCTGCTGCTGATTCTGCCTCTTAAGATGATGCTGCTGATGCTGCTGCTGCTGATGCTTCTGCCTCTTAAGATGCTGCTGCTGCTGGTACTGCTGCTTATGATGATCACGGTGATGCTGCTGCGGCTGATGTCACTGTGCCTGAGATACTGCTGCCGTCTGCTGCATGTGATGATGACGACGACGATGCTGCTGCTGCTGCTTGCTGATGTCACTGTGCCTGTGAAACTGCTACCGATTGATGCTGCCTCTGATTTTGCTCCTGGCTGCTGCTGCTGATGATGTCGGTGCCCTGCCCTTCCCCTCTCCCTGACGCCGCTCGGCAGCCAATCGCGGGCAGGCCCTGGCCGAGGATCCTGTGATACCTGCTGGTTGCCGGGGCAATGGGGACGTGATGGACTTGCTTAATGAGCGAGGGGGGCAGCGGGAGGGATGCAGCAGCGGTCAGATGATGGCAGCAGAGGGCGACCGCCACGCTGACCTATCCACGGCGGTGTTGTTTATTTGACCGATGGATACACAGCGCGGGATGGACAACGTGCTCAAGTGATTCGCAACGCACAGGCGGGCACGCGGCGCATTTCATATTAAGCAATGGGCGAATGCGGCCACTGTGGATGAGTTGAGGGGTTGTAGAGAAACGCGTTCAAGTGTTGTCACGGGAGGCGTGCATGTGGTTTCACAAAACTGTCTGCAGAGGGCGCACGCGGATAAGAAACGGGGTATCGCAAGGTCACGACAGCAGCGGACATTTAAGCGCAATGACAAAATGGATTTTGTGTGGTGTCGAATTGCGACCGCGTCTGCACGGCGCTGTGCGGACGCGGTGGGTGCGGGTGTTTTGTGGAGGCAGGCAGTCATAGGCTAAAATGTAGAGGTATTGACTATGGACTTGAACAGGGGGAAGAGGGAATCGACAGAACGTACGGCTGAGGGAGTTCCAGATTACGGGGGCAGCAGAGAATGAAGGCGTGGCAAATTACATCTGGTGAAATAATTTCCATCACGCACAATTCATCATCAGTCGGAGTCACATCATTAAGGTCTTTCTGAGCCTGCTCCACCCTAAAATTCATCATATGATGCAATAAACCACCGAACACTGCCCACAAACTAATCTCATCACTCCATGTCTTCCACAGCCATTCCTTTGGGATGCAGTCCATTTCCGCACCGCCATGGAGGAAGATTCACTGTAATTTGAGTTGAGTATTTAACCGTAAAAAAAAACGGCACAGCGTAATCCAAGACAGTAAAATTTATTCATTTAATATTATACATTGCGAAATTCAACAATTAACAAGTTCTCAATTTCTACACAGAATAGGTGTAGTGGTTAGAATAGGTGACATGAACACAGGGTAGAGAGCAGTTGCGTCGAGGCAAGCGGATCAATCCTTTCCCACGCCAGCCATGCCTTGGACATGTTGCAGCGATTGGCAGATTGGCAGATTTCCCACCTTGGTTGCGACAGTTCAGAATGAGTCCATGCAGGCAAATAAATAGGAGTGGGACACGTTTCGCAGGAGTGTATTTCAACGACACGAGTACGACACACTTCAGTTACAATGTGGAGCGAGAGAAAGAGAAAACGTAGAATTGTGCATGGACCAAGGTTGTACAAAAAAATCGAACATGACGCTTCAAAAAGATTTCTGTAAACAGTGTACAAAATACAGCATCCAAAACAAGGCATGTCCCAAGTCTACTGCTCACTATCGTCTCAAGTCAACAATATTTCATTTTGGCCACAGGAAAACTCTTCCTATAAATTAAGGGTTAGGTTTTACAGGCACTAATAAGCATCACTAAGTCAAACTAAACAACAAATTATTGTGCAAATAAGCAAGACTACATCTGACAAAAGGGTACTTAAGACATTTTGTAGCCATTGATTTCAAGAAATGTACACCGAATACAAAAGCATTTTTGAACATGCTCCAGAGATTTTTTTGTACAATATGTACACATTCCTATAGGATTAAATGCAATAAATTACGCTGCATTATTTAATACTGGTAAAAATGATGTTGTTTGTTTCGGAACTCTGGTACCAAATGCACACTTTTGTAGCAGTAACTTGGCTTGCACCGTGAAGGACTAATGTGGCATGCAGCGCAAATCACACGTGTACTGTGTACTCGAGCAGCAGAGTTGGATTCATCGTGGCCAATTTATCGAATCTCGGGTTTTAAGTCCACATGAAACCCATACACGGATTTCTCAAACCACTCGTGTATCATAATGGCAGTATAAAATTAGTAATTAAACCACGCATGTATGGAAAATAATCATTTGGGGACAAACATTTCCCCTTTTATCACCAACAGAATAAAACCTGGCAGTGAAAGTTGGGTGTGGAATAAATAGCATTTGCCTGTATGGACTCTGTTCGTGCCAAAAATGCAACCTTGGAAATAAAACACAAATCATTACCATCCTCTTGGAATCACGGTTAATCAAGAGGCGTTACCTTCATTGAAAGACACGGCTGTAAAGCAGCATTACATATTCCGAGGTTATTGTCTTAAGACCTTTTACCACAGTCCACTTGAATGAAGAGTAGCCATGAATCTAATGGTCAGTCCAAGGTTACATAAACTGGCGCAGAGTTTAAACAGTATTTTTGAACCATAAATTACGCTTATTAGTTATTTGTTTTTACTGTTAAGGCATGCACACTTTTAGTGAGGGCCTACTAGCACAACTATCAGTGTAATGTGGAGTAATATTTTTTTGCTTTGTACGCTTTACTTTACTGATATGTGCGAGTACTTCATGATGTGCTTGACATTTTCTTTAGGGTTACATGCGTTCAAAGTTGTCGACTGCCACAACTGAAACAACAAAGTGCTACTTCAAAAATAAGTTTCAACTATGCATTAGCCTTTTTATCAACGTGCAAACTTCCATGGAAGAGTGAGGGCAGGCTCCACGTCCTCGGCTTCTAGAAGGCCGCACTCTTCACCGTGGCTGGCCCTTCCTTCCGATTCCAAGAGGTAGCGGCGCGGGCTTTTACAAAGTTGACTTCCCACACACTTGCTGCATACTTCCTACTTTGTGGAGAAGCCTTCTGAAATGTAACGTGACCGTTTGTTCACTAAAACACAAAGACGCTTTGCAATGTTAAAAAAACGTACGCAAAATTAACTAACTTCGAGTGAAATTTAATTTTTAAAAAATGGCACCCGACACGTGTTATCAATGCATGAGATTAAGAAAACGCAAGCTGGAGTTTGGTCAAGATTAGTCCAGTTTTGTTCAACTTATATTTACAAATGTTTGCAAGTACTTTTAAAGGGGGGAGAGAATTAGTTTAATATTACCATATTTCCAAATCGCACTGTTAGTGTACAAAATGTAACTTTAATACAATTAGCATATAATGCTGCTAGTGTGGAATGGCGTTCCAAAAAGAGTGCTTTTTTTCCAAATACGTTCATGCAATGAACATTATATGCAACGTCTTAGACAAAATTGTCAATATTCAAATGTGCCCTTCAAGACAAAATGAAGCCTACAACCCCGATTGCTTTATGCAGCGTTCCCCTGCAAAGGACAACCAATTCGTTTTTGTGCTGCTTTAACACTTTTAAGTTTACAAGGCTTACTGGTTTAACATCAACCACGTGTCATAATTACCCACATTTGACTATTTCCAATGTTTGTTCTCTTCAAGTCTGCTTGAAATACAATACTGATCATATTTTTTCGATGTTAAATCACTTTGCAAACAGATGCCGACATGATTCTTTTTCAAACCGTTCATCAAAAACATGCAGCACTGACAACTTCCGAAGAATATTCTTTAGAAAAACAAAATAAGGAACCTACATAGCCACAATTTCTGCGAAGCAGTGCAAAGTTTCTTATTCACCTGACAGCATATACATGTACCAGGTTAAGATGTTAAAGGCAGCAGAACAAGCGAAACGGGCAGTCATCATGGCCCACCCTGCTGTTTTCTTTTTAAAGGAAACGCACATACCGCCAGACTTACAACAACCCTTGAAAACACACAGTCCACGCTTCCTAAAGTTCTTCCAAGACGACAACAAATCTATCCAGGACCTTGGTAAACATATTGAAAATACTTAAATCAGTCAACACGCACACAAAACAGCATTATCCTATGCACTTAATGGCAATTCAATTTAAACTTGTATCTTAAGGGAATATGTCTACATCATACGATATTGTGAGAACGGACATCATTTTGCTGTTCCTGGATTATACTGTAGTTTAATATACAGCAGCTATTGTAAGCCTGTGTTACTCTTATCTACAACTTCAGTTGCGGCACTGTGCAAGACCGGGCACCTCGGTGTTTTTCATGCAACCTCATTGGCAACGGCCTGCACAGCGCAGCTCGCGCCCGACACAGCAACGAAGCTAGTGGCCACACCTTTTCGAGGAGGCAATGTGATAACGCCAAGACAAGATCAAAGCAAACAAAACTGGCCGCCTCACTTCACAAGGCCTTTAAGCAACTAGGGAAGCAGCAGACAGAGAGGAGGAGGAGAGTTGCAGCGTCGTGTGGGGACCGAGCTGGCGTGCCGCCTCTCTCCCTGGCTAAAAGGGGGGGGGGGGGGGGGGGGATGGGGAACGACCCTGCTACACACGTTAACGCCACCGGCTCATTCGTCTGGAGGCTCGGAGTGCGATTCGGTGCTTCCCGCGGGATGGGCCGAGGCTACGACGGCCGGCGAGCCGGGAGAAGACATGGGCCCATCCACCACTTCGTCCTGGTTGTAGAAAAAGAAGGGGCACTGGTGGATGAACGTCTCGATGATAAGCTTGTTGACTCTGGTGGCCGTGAGGGCATCCACCGTTTGGAAGTCTGGCCGCATGAGCGTGGGCCAAAAGCAGATCGACAGATTCTCGCTGGTCATGTAGTTTTCGGAGCTGTACTGGCTCACCCTGCAACGGGAGAAGATGCGATACTTGTTGAAGGTGGAACACAACCCAGTTAACAAAAAAGCATTTAGTGAGATGTATTATAGAGAGCAAGATAAACAACAAGGCAATGCCTTCTTCACCATGTCTTCACATAAAAAAAACATTGTTCTCAATAGTAATAATACATTACATTTATAAAACGCCTTTATACAAAGTACTCAAGGCACTATTTGACACATTGCTCAAAATAGTCAATAACATCATCGTGGAGAATATAAATAACATTAATTAGCAATGTCTCCTTCATGTGTAAAGTCGTGCAACTGAGGGGTCGCGTAACAAATATAATTTTTACGTGGAGATGGATATGTTAAGGAGACATGTCTGCTTATTTATTTAGCTCTTTAAATTCTCAAAAACAACACTGGTTATTTAAAGTTACGCATGATATAATTGTGTCGAACTAGGATCCCATAGCATCGAAGGTGCTTGCCTGCAAGATCGGCAGTTCATTGATTCAAGCAAGCCTAACATCTCGCGGTGGAGATATGTTAGCTGCCCCGCCTGACGCCTGTATATTTGAAGTTTGCATGTTCTCCCTGTGATCGCATGGATTTTTCTCCAAGTCCTCCGGGTTTGCCCTCCATATTTAGAAACATACGTTGAGAGTATTTGGCTGGTATACATTTCCACGTGATAAGCCACTTCGTTGAGCAATCTTTTGTGGCAAGGTCGCTTCTGAAAACGCGCTATATAGCTCAGTGGGCCTTAGCTGGTCAAATAAAATAGTTTAAATAGCTTAAATAGTTTGACGAGACAATGTATGTTGAAATTGGCCCAGTGTATTCGTCTTGAAATAATGGTGCTCAAATTTTGCCGCTAATAGGTTGTACAAATGGTTTTTTACATAGAGGCATGTAAAAATAACATTTTGTTATTCATATTCCCCACAATTATGCGATTCATTATTTTGAGTTATGTATCATCTAGAGCATATTATTTGGTGATGCTGCATTGGCACAACAAGCACACGTAACAAAACAAATATTTGTCAATATAACTGCATTAATAACAATGTAAACTTCAAAAGAAGCGCCTTTCAAATTGTGCTATTAAGGCACATTGCCCAAAACGTCACCCATTATATAGTTTTCCTTTGAAGGCAGTGTTTTTAGTGAATGTGTTTAGTTTTGTTTTTCTCATCATTTATCGCAGCAGTTCACTATTTGTGATCCGTGGGCCACTGGTGATCCTCAAGGCCATGGGAAACGGTCCACAGTACTGTCCCATATACGATGATTTTTCCACGATGCTATATTTTATTAAATGTCAATTACACAACTCTTTACAGCCAATAAAAGCAAGCTAAATCGTTTTACAGTGTTTTAATGGGCATATTTTCAGCACTTCTGGAGTAGTTTCAATTTCGAAAAATGTTATTGGTGTATGGTGGTCCATATGAAACATTTGAGGATTGACCGGTTCACTGTTCCAGAAAGGTTAGAAACCCACTAATATAGCGCAAACACAAACAGCTGTATTACTTGTGCAGGTGAGTGATGATGTATTTGAAGACTTCGTGGTTGACGTGTGGCAGTTTCTTTAGTTTTCCTCGTAGGGCAAGCAGTCTTCCTGTCTTGTCTGGAATATCTGCGCACAAATACAATAGAGTTCATGCATTAAATAATTTATCCCAATATAAATTGTCTATTTTATCTATGTAAAATCCAACGTCATTGGTAAAACATACAAAATATTTTCTAGTTAGTGTAGGATTTCACATTGATATTTACAAGCATTTTTTTACATGAATGTTCAATTAACATTTTACACTTTTAATACAAAATATATACACGTCATTATGAAAACGTTTAATTGTTTTAATACAGGACACCTTTACCCTTGAACATCGCGGGTTTATCGTTCGCGGTTTCGACCTGTCGTGGGAAACCTGTTTGTATCCCAATGTAGCTATCGCGGGAGGTTAGTTTTGGCCTTTCGCGGGTATACTATGCCCAGAAGTAGTGTATCATTGGCTGATACAGTGGTTCAGGACGGGCGAGGGACGCGAGGCAGTCAGTGGCACCTCAACCTTTGCCGTGCAAGGATCTCAAACAAAGACAAAGATCCCACATATAGCCTTAACAAAACTGTTGGGGGGAAGTGCTGTTAGCGAGCACATATGAAGGGCGGCACATGAGGGGGTGGGTGGCCAGCACCAGGCCCGGTCGCCTTTGTCTCCCTAGTAGCAACAGTTACACATCGTGCCAGGTAACCATGAAAGGCCGAGTCGACCTAAGGGAGGACAATGACCAGTTTAGGTAATCGTCACTGGTGTTGTCCATGAGCGAGATCGAACTCGGGTCGCCGGGTTCGTAGCACTATCGCTTCCCCCTTGCGGACAAACACTCACAACCACACTCTGCTTTGGATCATCATCGGTAAGTGCAGTATTTATTCAGTATTTGTACCACTATTTATTGTCGAGAAATTATTTTTGTATCAACGGTTTTTACATGTTTATTTATATTCATTTGTTTATAGTTTATTTGGCATTCAGTACGGTACTTATTTCAATTGTGATGTGTCTATTTTTTATTGTTGTGTACCTAACCCCATTATTTAGGTAAAGCTCAAAGTATTGAATATTGCGGTTGTCTTTGGTGGCACCTTCCAAGAACGCGATATTGCCCAATCATCTCCAGATCTCAGAATCTCAGGCAAGGTGAGCCTGGATAGTGCTTGGATGAGTGACAACCTTGCATAATAGAGACTGTATAATGTGGGGCTGCAGAGGCAATTACAGGAAAATCGATGGTTTTACTGTGCCCCCACATATGTCCCCCCCGCCACCTTCACCAACACGTACTGACCAGCAATGTGAAGTAGGGTCAAACAACCCCCACAACTCAAGTGTGCAGAGGCTCTCGTCCATGAGTCAGTAAACAGAGGGCTGGACATGTATATGTACAATGACAGAAACATGAATGCAACTTGAAATAGAATAACGGAAACATACTGATGGCCTCCATGAGATCCTGATGGATATCATACGGCAGCAGAGGGTCTGGCAGCTCAGCAAAGAAGATCTTGAGGGACCCAGCCACAGTGTTCACATTCACATCCATCGCCTCGTAGCTGATGCCGTGATCTGAAAGGGAAACCCAAAAGCAATATCGACAACCGGGGAAATGCACACTCGCAGCACAAACTGCAACGTTGCAACACAATATTGATACTAGTCAGCATCCCTTTTAAAAGTGGACTTCTATCGCAACCGTGCAATCAGCATCAATATAAATATCCATTCAGATCTCTCGCTAAGCAGTGCAATCCTCCGCGTTACAGAACGGCCCACAGAAACGGCTACACCAGAGCTACCTCTCAATTCCCTTTAAGTGACTTCTGGTCCACAACAGGGAGAAAGCAGTATGTTCCCCTCCCCCGACCCTGCCAGAGTAATGTTCGTCACATGACAGGGATTCCATTTATTTGTAACCAAATAAATATCACTTTCACGTGGTGTTTTTTGTGCAATCATTGGTGACTGGGTAGAGAGCACCAACTCTCTACTTTTGAGAACCCAGGTTAATCAAGGGTGGCTGCATGGAATCAAACTCAAGCTCTCAACATTGCTAACTCTGAGGTATATCGGCCACCTTGACACGGCATAATTCCTTAATATAACATGCACACCATTTACATTCGGTACAATTTCCCAAATTTAAAAAAATTTACTTTCAAATTAAAACAAACAGGATCAGATTACGACAACAAAACACATTCTAGTTTTGCAGTATCTATGCCACGACATTTGTTGCTATGTTTGATTCCTGACAATACATTTTAGAAACTTATTTAATTTATGTTAATTATTGGAAACATTAAATTACCAAATCAACAGGCATTATAAACATGCTCAAATATGAAACATATATAAACAAGCCGCATTTCAATGTTGTTGATTTTCAACTGGTTGTTCCCACTGAACAACATATACAATTTCCAGGAGTATTATACATGTTCAGTTCTGGTTGGATAGTAGTGTGGGATCGATTGCTCTGATAAATCAGGTGCAGACCCAGTGCAGCTAATTGGCATGCTATTTGTCAATAAATTTGATTACTTACAGCTTAGATTTTTGACAATATATTCAACCTTATTTAATATAAGAAATTAAGCAGAAACAAATATCATGCCATTATTATCTGCCAAGAACATAACAATGTTGACAATCTATGAACAGTAGAGGGCAGTAACCACAAAGCTTTCTACCAGGGGGGAAAATGGCATTTTCACAAACTCGAATTTCGGCAGCCAATGACCACCTTATTCTAGCTCCTGTCGAGGCCTTCTTGGCGCTTAGCGCCTCACCCGTCGCCCCCGCTGATGTCCTCTTCTTCCCCCACCCCTCAATGTGTGCAGATACTAATATTGTATGTAGAGTGTGTAGGCTTTATATGACTACAAAATAAAAAAATATATGGGGGGGGGGGGGTCGAAATTTTTTGGAAACCTGTTGGATCAACTTTTTAAACTCAAACTTTGGGGGGGTCCACTTTCTAGAAAGTTTTGATTCAGACCTTCTGAAAGGCTCTTATAATTTAGTTGACGAACAAACAAACGGAATGCTGGGCTTTTATAAAAGACAAAAAATCGGCACATACCACACTCAAACTGCTTCTGCAGGCTGTCTTGCTCTGTTTTATTGCCACTAACCCGGTAGAGGCCTTCCGTTGTAATCCCTGCAGTCACTCAACATCAAAATAATGATGTTAAAACAAGCTGAAAATATCAAAACAAAAATATTATCACGTCACTCCTTTAAAGAATACATAGGAGGGTGGGGGGGGGAGGTGGCTCAAATAACGCAACCATTTAGTGGGCTGTGAAATGAACCCGTGATCCTCAAGTTCAATTCTTGGCAAAGGCCAGGGGTCAACAACCAAAATAAGAGCAGCATTTTTTTTAGAATTAGGTACGGAACTCAATATTTCAAGAGCCCCAATGCATGTGAAAACATCCTACATACATTACGTCACGAGGCAGTCCGCAAAGAGCTGCGTTTGGCTTCGGAGCCGCAGATTGCCAACCCCTGTCCATGGCTAACATCGGTGGCAAGTGATATTGCAATCGGTCTTGGACTCCCTTTCACCAACCCACAATGACCATTGGGTGAAGTATGGTCAAGCAACCCCTATGACCGGCACGGTGTGGAGGAGACCTTCATCAACAAGTGGATTGTGATAAAGGACTGTATATTATTATGTTTAATCATTGAATACATGCATATTTCACAAATACAATACTAAGCTAATATGCAGTATCACTGAAATTATTTTATCTTGGCAATAGCAAGAGTATAGAAAAACATGCAAAATGCAAAAGCAGCCCTTTCTTTAAAATAATGTTTTGCTCTGCACAACTTTTATTTATAGAAAAATTATATTGACTTATAGCTGCATGACCACCATACAAATCCAGGCCAATCCAGTTGAACAAGAGCAAGCATTTAAAAGTATGTCTATTCCATTTAGAATGACCTGGTGTGCCTTCCCTGCATTGTCAGTGACAAATCTGATGTTCCTGGCTGTAAGCCACATTTGCCTTATTTCTGGGAAGTGGTAGTTACACACTAAAGCAGCTTTTTGCATGCATTCAATACTTGTGGCTTCATAGTTTTATATGGTGAAATTCAATATTTAATTGAGCCTACCGGTTAAACTGACAAAGAAATATGATCCTTTTTTTTAAAGGCTCTGATTTGTTGTCAAATCATTCACAACTGAAGCCAGTTCACGTATTCTGCATTATGTAATGTGATGTTCAAAGGGCATTTTATTCTGCACCCGAATATAAATTACATCTTTTTGATGAAATGCAGAGCTCTGTGATTGTTAACCCAGCATTTACAGCCATGGCAGTTTATTTAACAATATAACCAAACAGATCTAAAATGTCCTCTCCTTATTCAAACAAGCCCCTTCAGGTCATGACAGAATGAATTCCATTATAGGAATACCACTCACATGGTATGGTAAAAAAGTACTGACTTGCCCATAAATAAAATCCCTACAAATCAAACTAAGCACTGCACGTATAAGGAGAAATAGATCATGCGCTTATTGGATGCTTGGGAGGTTCACAACACCAACATTACGCTGCCCAAACATCAGAGATGAATGCCGAGGGTCAAGAATGCACAGCAAAAATAGATTCACGAAACACTACCCAAGACAACAGAAGTGCACCAGACAAATAGCACACTGCACTAAGCTGCCTGGATATGTTTGCCTTGTGCTCTACAGGCTGGCAATCGGGGTACAGCACCAGCAGCGATCTCACAATCCATTCACAGGATCTAGCAGAGCCCTGTTGCACAGACTTCCTTCCTATGACACTACTGGCCCCTTTTCCACAAGGTTTGGGATTTTAAAAAAAAGTACCTATAGGAAATCTGTTGTAGATGTAGTCATTACAACGAGCTTATCATCATTCTGTGGTACCTTTAAAAAAGAATCCCCTGGCTAGAACCGTCTCGCATTACAGGAACAGGGTTAAGCTGTTGCAGAAGTGTCACGGTTTCAAGCTGTTCGAGGCAAATGATAAACTCTACATGGGCCTTGCATCAGTATGCGCCCTGGGGAAAGGTGTCACCTCAAATGTTTTATACTTTTTTGGCAGCTATGAAACATTGAGTTGTTTATAAGCAAACCCAAATGAAAAAACTAAAATTAGCTCTTAAACTGAAATAAAAATGTGCAATAAACATTGCAGGTGCTTTTGGGTGTGTGAAGCGTTACTATTAACATTATTTCCACCTGTTAATTTTAACACACCAATCAGAACAGTCTAAAGGAGATCATAATTAAAATGTGCACTTATATTTTAACACAAGGCAGATTATAGTTAGTCAATTATGTTACAAATGACTGTGGCACTCCTTGTTCCTGTAACTGAATAACCATAATTGTTAAATTCACTGGGAGAAAGCATGTCCTTTAATTTGTATTCTCACATTCCTCATACTTTTTACATTTAATATTAATGTAAATATATTTTAGAATCTTGACACGCTATTAAATAACTGAATGAGAATATCAACATTCTTCTCGCGGCAATGTACATTATCCTTAAAAAAAACTTCCGGATTTTGAGACACATTTAAGTCACTAGCAATTATAATGCAGCAACTCATTAGCATTGTCCGAGCAAAAACTACACTTTAAACAAACCCATCTCAAAGCTGCAAATTTTCACAGAACTATGTGCAACTTCCTGCTCAGAATACCCTGGTGTAGCCACTGATTTGAGTGTAAACTCAGCTACCAGCACAAGGAAGAATGAACAAAATAACCAAATATAAAAAATTGAGAAGCTGGCCCAAAATACAAAGAGGATGAGCGCAATACCAGATGCAGAAGTGAATAAAATATAACCATGTGGCTGGCCACCCGCAAGACAAGGCAACTAGTAGGCAACTACTTGAGCACCAAACATGATCAATATTGCATGAAGCCAAAATTTTACTTTCAAAATATGAGTTTAATTCTGGATAGAGTTTACTACAGGAGAAATGCTTCCTAAACTCTAAACAGTAATTACCACGAGTGAGAATTTAGAAAAGGGATAATGTTAAGACTGTGTTGCCCAAATATTTCCAGACACGTATAGAATGAATTGCCATATACCCATCACTAGCTAGAGCCCACAATACAATATCCTTCAAACACATTATTGCATCTAAATAAACCCCATGTACTGATGCAATTATTATAACTTTACCAATCATGAAAATATTTCTCCATATAAATGGTTTTCATATAACTAATACAGCATAAAAATACACTTCTTTTAAAATGGGCTGAGCACATCGCTATATCTGTAATTTCATAAAAGTTAACAGCTTTTCCTGTCATAATTGCAAAGTTTTAAAGGTGATTTTAAATGTATAAAGTCAGATTTCCATTGTCTATTAATGTACTGCTGGCTTTATGTTAGCAGGATTTTGCTCATAAAAAGTAATTTCCTTGTGTCAAAGCCTGCAGAGGCTTGCTATTCAAACTAAACTATGTGTGCTAAGCCAAGCATTACATGCCCTGGGCTGCCATTTTCTCTCTCAACTTAAAATGCATCAGATACCAACAACGCAGGATATGAAACTGTTATTCTTTCAGTTTGACCACGATTCCAAAAACAGATGCCAATATACTCATGTATACCAAACGGTAAAATAAATGCACATTAAATTATCGTCACACTCGAAAAATAAAAAGTCAGACCACAATCGTTCTGCAGAATTGTAAAGAAACGTGACCTCTGGAGTGTGTGGTGAGAACTAACCGCAAGACTCAAGGTAGAGCACACATTTTTCCACGAATAACGGAATGGGGTTATCAGGCGACTGCACCACCTCGACCAAAGGCAATCCAAAGTACACGCTCTCCTTCTTCACCTCCGGCTTCCGGTACTAAAGATGCGACAGCAACAAGAAAAGACAAAACACAGCAAGGGAATAATTTACTCGACTTGGCCTTGTGTTTAAATCACAACAATCTGTAGCGACGTGTGTATGTGCATGCTCCATGTACAGTGTAGTGCAGTGGCGTAATGTTTAGCGCATTCCTGGCTACAGCCAATGAGGGGTAAATATCTAAATCAGTTCTGGGCCACCCCTAGGTTGGTTAAACCTTAAATAAGTCCATGGAGTAGTGTGTAAAAGTCAGCACTAGGGTGCCAAAGGCCGCCGGGCATGGCAAAGGCGGGTCGGGTGTGGTGCTGGCCATACCACCACCTCATGCATCACCACTTGCCTAAACAGCCGATGTAGGCTAAATGGAAAATCTTTTGATTTTAATAGTAGAATGAAGAAAGGTGACTGTCAGTAAGCAACAATTATAATAAATAAAAATGCAGCCAAACATTGCAAGCAAAGCAATAATAGCCCTGTATGCCACAAGCTGAATCCTGTGATTTAAGCCGGTGTGCATTGTTCCCGCATTGCACTCTGCTACAAAATAATCCTAACAACCTTCAATATAAAAAAAAATTTACATCTGCTATTGAGAGACTGGGTGCTTATATTAGCTTCTTATATGCACTTCCCATTGTCGTTTTGTCAGGTGACAAGAGGCACATGAGAGCCCAGGATTTCAAGGCGAGAGAAAATATGCTGTGCTCAGCACTGGTCTGCACATTGTGCATGTGCACATCTACAGAAGAACCATACCTGTCATGATGGCCATGTAAAGAGGGCAATAAGGGACAAATTATAAGGGGCAACCTTACTTTAGCGGTGGGTTTAAATTCATATAAATGGGAATCATTTATAGGAATTTAAAGCCCGAGTCTTCAGTAATTTACCCATAAATCTAGGCTGACAGACATGCATTCATTTGATTGACATTTACAAATGTAAACCATCTTAATGGAGTATGTATATGTTAAATGGAAATTACAGAATTTATCAGATTGTTTTTGTATTACTTATAATGTAAAGCAAATTTGATCTCTTTTAAACATTTAAACATTTTTATTACAACAAATCTCTTCTTTTAAGATGCAATTAAACCAAAGCGATTAAAATTCCCAAACACAATTAATATCTGTCAAAATTAATGTCCTGTTAGTGCCTCAATACCTGCATTTATTTATTAAATCAGATCATAATGAGTATGTGAAACTAATGTAAACAAGCTACAGCGCTCAATTAAGCACACATTTTACTGTAATCTCCGAGTAATATAATATATGCAGATTTATCACAAAACACAAACCTTAATTTCCATCTTTTTATCAATCCTGTCTCCCCTTTTCAGGCATGAACAATATTCTCTAAATTGTACACTGAATCCACCCTATTTAATGAGAATGTATAACTACATTATCACTGACAATAAAGATGTACCCAAAATGTGCACAATTGTATGTGATCTTTTAAATAACGGCTTTGCATTTTAATATAAAACGAACAAATTATTTAAAAATGACGTTCAATAAGCTCACGCTTAACACTGAAGCTGCATGGCTATTTGCATGTCAACATCAGCATTCGAAGGTGAAAGTTCAAGTCAATTAGTTTGCTAAAATGGCATTCCTTTAGCCATTAAAATTAAATATGACATGATTTTAGAACAACCCTCACTTAAATGCTGCAGGCAGGGGTTAGCAAGCAGGGCAGGCCAGGAAGTGGGTGGATATGGGAGAAACAAGGGACGGTAAAACCACAGAATGTGCAGCTGCACAAAGGCTGCAGAGTTGGGCAAAAAAGCAAGCAGTTGAGCTGACAGGATGTGGTGCACTGAAGCATGTAAAATTATTATGTTAGGAAATGTACGAGGTGAAATGACTTGTGCATTTCTTGATAGTGAGATGTAACCATGGGGTGCAGGCAGGAGTACATCAGTTCTGCGTACTGCACATTTAAAAGCCTGACAATCTGAGTTAGATTCCTGGTCACGGCTAACATCAGTAGCGACTGATATATCTGCACCAGTTCTGGGCACCCTCACTTCACCAACTCTCACTAACCAGCATGGTTATTATACAGTCGAACCATCACAATCAACATGGCATGGGAAGGTCTTCGTCCGTCAGTGGACTGCCAAAAGGGCTGAAAATTATTATAATTATGATGCAATTACCTTTGATTTTCTCAGCAGACTCTTCTTTTTCTTGCGATCCTCCTGATCTGCAGACGGCTTGTCCAGGTCAGAGTCACTCATTCTCGGCTTGCGTTTTCTTCTGCTCAGTGAAGGGAAGAAGTTCTGCACCTCCTCATCGCTCCCTTCGGATGGCGACCCGGTGGCCAACAGTTCTGGTGGCGCTGTGCGGCGAGGCTTCAGTCTCTCCGACCTGTGCTTGTACGGCACAGGCTTCCGCGCCTGAACACTGACAGTCCTGTATTCCAGTGTGCTGGCATCCAAACCATTATCCACACTCCCCTCCGGAATGCTCGTTGACACTTGGTAGACTGGCCGCCCTCTGATCCTAATTATTTTCCCTTGTTTGCTGTCTTGGGGAACCGAGTAGATGTTTTCTTCCAGATTTCTGAACCTGCTGATGGCATCCAGGGGATCAGCGTAGTCACCTGGGTCACTTTCACTTGGCGTTTGTCGCATTGACTTCCTGATCGATTCTCCTCCAAATCGCAACGTCTCCATTCTTTTCAAAAGCTCTGGATCTGGTCTGGGGGGAAGGACAGGCTTTGGCAAGACTGGAGGGCCTATTTTGTAGCTTCGATCCGTCAGGTAATCGTGACTGCACAGTGGAGAGCCGTAAGGTGGTACGGTTGCGATTCCACCGCTAAATTCTTTTTCAGCAGCTGAAAACTGAAACATATCGCTCATGTTCAGAGGGAATGGCTGTTTTTCATTGTTTGCTGGGCTGTACGGTGGAGGTGGCTCACTGTCATCAGGTGCCTGGCTGTTAGAATTGAATCCTTGAAGTTCTACTCCAGCAGACTGTGGCAAAGATTCATCACCTGTCTCCCACAGGGACATAGACTCTTCGATATGCAGCTTCTGCTCATACACTTCGCGGAAGTAGGCAGTGAACATTTCCGTCTGCTTGTAGAACCGTGATGTGGTCTTGAATTTTGCACCGATGTCACTGGCGATCTGCTCGCCCTCCATCAGCAGGTCTTTGCTGATTTCATCAGTGAAGAAATCACAATCAGTATCAGTCACAGCAAGGATGTGTATTGGCAAAACATCAGGAACGCCAGACAGAAAAGCACGCAGCATTGCTATGGATGCCTTCCTCTTTGCAGAGTACACAAGGATGTAGCCATGCACCATTTCATCCCTTCGCATCATTGCAGAGTGGTACGAGATTGGTGCGATCTCCACCCGTCGCTTGTGCGAGCCCAAAAATACTTCCAGAACCAGTGTGCAGCTGTGCCCAATTTTCCCAATTGTACAGAATTGAGATTCCAAAAATGGTGTCAAGACCAAGTCTACGCTGAATGAATCACCGCACATTACACACATCATTATTCGCAAATCAACTTCTGGCAACTCTTTCAGGGATGGTGCTGGGCTGACGACTGAGGGCCTACATTTTTTTGCCTCGAGCAATTCACGCAGTGCTTGCTTTATTTGCAACTCGTGAAATTTGCGATATGGGTATGTGTCTGACGGAACATCGACGAAATGACACTGCATTTTATTAGCTATGTGTTTACCTTGCAGCCTCAGTGTTGCCAATACCATGCTGGAATACTTCTTTTCATGTGCCAATATCAAAGCGATGGGCAAATAGGACGTCTTGTCTCTCCTGTCACTGTAGTGAAAGCCTGTAGAGCTGTCAAGGTTTTCTTCAATGTATTGGAGTGTTTCGATTGAATTAAAGACACAGAAGCATCCGTGAGGTTTCGAGCTAGATGTCTGAAAAGGGTTGGCCGAGAGCCTTGCATTCTCTTCGATAGGTCTCAATTCAAGCTCGTACATTTTTCCATCCAAAGCATACTCATTGTCTGTTGACTGTGCCATGATTTCATTTGCCAATTCATGAGCAAGACCATCGCAACCCAACAAAACTATGTTCAGTTTGTCTGTGTTAACACTGTCAGACATATACGTGGACCTGGAGCGATTGGTACACTGGGATGCACGGTTGGCCAAATTTTGCTGAATCTGAATGTCCATGCAGTTCTGGCCGCTCAGACAAGTATCAATGGTCGGGTGGTAAATAAAACCAATGTGTTTCAGCAGCAAGGCCTGTCTCTCAGCTTCCAGACGTTGCAGTGCCTTGAATCTCGGTTCGTCTTTCAGCTCTCGGTTGATCTCTGTCATCTTTTCTTTACTTGGCGTCGCATTTAGGTCTAGATCCACAAACAGATCAGAGTACTCCAAAAGCATTTCTTGAAACTCTTCCTTTGCCTTCTCAATGATGTCCTGTTGGTGGCGACTATAGATCTCCAACTTTTCCTGATCTGAAAGCTGCTGGAAGGATTCTTCATCCAAGAGAAAAATGTGGACATCTTCCCAGGCTTTCCCAGGTGTCACTTGGTTATTCCACTCCAGTGCCTTTTTGAACCTCACTTTCATGTCAGCTTTCCACCTCAGGATCTTCAGCCTCTTCAAGTGCTCTTGCGAGACGAGTTCTGCATCGCTCAACTGGAGAAAATCAAATGGAATTCTTTGATCATTGGGATTTTCAATGTGATCACTATCCTGCCAGGCTTCTTCCTGAAGGACAATAAAGAAAGAATCAAAGTCTTGCTTGTGGAACAGGAGCTCCTGGATGTGTTCCCAGCTCATGTGTTCAATTTCATCTAAATCTGGCAAAATAATTTCCAATGCCTTGAGAAGAGAAGTGAGATAATCCAGCTTTTTCCGACATACAAAATCATCCTTCAGTTTCCTTAAGTGCCTTCTGAACAGCTCCCTTGCCTGCTTCTCACCCCGTAGATAGACAAAGTCCTGGTAATCTTTGCTGTCCTTTATTTTATTGGACTCTGTATGCCACTCTGCATGAAAATCCTTCACTGCACGCGTAAGGAGCTTAGTGTACTTGTCAGTGACGACATCCAGGATATCTCGTTGCTGCCGTGAAGCCTCTGCGAAAGGAATTATCTTAGGCTTTCCTCGAGATTTGTCAATCATTTGGGCCAAAGCAATGAATGCCAGCTCCACATTAACATTTTCATGTGCGGATGTTTCTATCACCGGAGTGTTGATCTTGGCCTTGGATAAGTATGCCTGCAACTCCCGCAGGAACTGCTCCACCATGACGTCACACTTTGTGGCGACCAGAACCACTGGTTTTTTCGTCTTAGATAGCTGTTTGTACAAGTTACTTATGAACTCCAGCTGATCATCCAGAGGCCTGTTCTGTACAAGAGTAACATCGCAGCACAGGAGAAATCCATCCACTGCAAGCTTTCCATCAGGCATTTGTTTTTGTTCGAAATCTTGCTCAATTCCAAGCTGGTCTGTGCATATGTACATTAGTTTCTCAGCCGAACTAAGCTTTATTGCTACAGATCTCTTGCTGTACGGTTGCAAATTGGTACTGCGATGAGGCTGAAATGTGGCATCGTCGATGAATTCAGTTTGTTCAACTACCCGAAAGATATACTCGCAGCCTTCATCAATTCTTCGGACCTCTCCCCAGTAGAGGAACTGGTCGTTATTTACAACGCGCCCACCAAAATCACTCTGACTGATTAAAGACGTATGTACCTCAAAGTAATCGTCGGCCCTTGGACGAACAAATCTATTGCACAAGCAGGACTTCCCAATACCTGTGGCCCCCTTTTCCTTCTCAGTTCCTGAAAGCCCTACGACACTGATGTTGAACGTGCGGGACTCTTTGTTCTTCGCCATTGCCACTTTCACATCCTCCCACGAGAGGCTGAAACGTAGACCCACCACTCCTGGCAGAGCGCGTGCAAGTGTCAGCACAACTCAAGGGCGCATAGCCATAGCAGCAGTGTACCCCACACGAGCTTCTTAAATGTTTCAAGTTTTCGTTATCGTCCTCTTCATGATTCGCAGGAGCATGTGAAGAACCTCCATGTCATTCGCCCTTTTCACCCCTGTTAATGATAAAGCGAACTCGCGTTAGAAATGAATACGCCTCAGCGAGATCTGCAAAAAGTTTTTTTTCTGAATCGCATCTTAAAATTAGTTACAAATGACAGTAGCGTACTTAATTTCACATTTTAAGTACACATTATCAGGTGTGATTATGTTACCATCGACAGGAAAGTTTTAATCACATTAAATCCATTAAAGTATAGATATACCAGTTAAAAATCCAAGGTCGAAAGAGAATAAAATGCAATTTTAGTGTTTGATTCTGAGAAATTTGAAGTGTCAAACTGTCGCAGGGTACTCGTTAGCAATAATAATTGCCCAGTGGATTTTTCCCCCAAATGTTATTTTCATATTTTCAAAGGCATGTCACAATGAGTTAACTTTGTTATGGTTCACAGCACTATACCTTTGTGATTCTTCACACAGACATAAACAAACACAGGATATTGTAAACATATACCAAACAATTTTGTTTAATACAGCATCAAATACATTTGAATGTTATAAAAACACATGACATGAGCATTTAATGTCAGCAGATACAAATTACACTCTCCCGCAATCATTCAACGTCAGCCGAGATATAAATACTGAAACCATACAATATTAGTGACTGTGCATTTTAATGAAAACCTATTAAGCACACTCTTTAATGGAAATGAAAATACCCTACGTTTACATTTCATGAAGTATTAAAATTATATTTGTGCGACTTGCGGTAGTAGTTCCAGTAAATTAAATGCTGCTGGGTAATTTGTGGTGTGATAAGAACCGTATTGGGATTTCAAGCCATTAAAAAAAATTTCCCTATGTGAATGAGAAAAATGGGCACCACCTTTTTAAGATGCGGTGCAGATATCATTGTATACCTATTGACGCAAGGCAGGGTTGCAGACAAGTCCTCATACTTCAATCCTACTTACTGTCACACCACAGTTGCCGCCCACAACACCACAGCCATTCGTGACATATCTCCAGCCATTAAAAGCGCAACGCTGACACTTACAGGGACTGCCCTTACTATCACCAAAATCTTTCATTACCCTTTGTCAAATTCGTGCCTGTGGAGCTGCCTAACTGTGTGATGCATTTCTGGGAGAGGCGCACAGTGACAGCGTAACAAGTACTGCACTTAACAATAATATGGAGGAAGCAATTTCCATGCAATGTTTTTTCTTCACGGGTTTGCAACATGTTTTATGAAAAGGGAATTAAGGGAGTATTTACTGATTTGTTAAGATATTGAATGCTCTGCCTCATGTCGACTTGCATATGGAAAGTCGGAAACTGTCACGACTTGATTACCACAATTTGAAGCACCCTGCGTCCGTCGCTGGACAACACCGATGCCTGAACAATCGGAAAGAAAAATAAGGCAGGTAGGCTATTGGAAATCCTTTCAAGATTCGATCAACGCACTCTAAAATGGAATGGGTGCAGAAGTGAATACCATTGATTTCTTTCAAAACTGGGCCCTTTTAACCGCCTTGAAAATCACAGGAAATTACAAAATTGTTATTGTGCACCACATACTTTTAACAAAGACCATTAATTATTGGCAACATCCATTATCCATCCATTACAGAAAAAAACACAATGCACCAGTGTTCTGAAAAATGGAGCTCCGAGTAGAATTTTAAGTACAGTACAGTGAGATAAGTGGAATTCAGATTGAGCATATTAACATAATGCATATTTAATTTGAACGAACTTGTTCTATTTTAATCTTGATTTGAAGCTTTCGTGACTGCAGGAATCCACTCTTTGGTTCTTTCGGAAAAGTCACGTAGGTAGAAAAAATAATAGATCACGACGTTTCGATCGCCACACAAGCAATCGTCTCCCACCTGAAGACGATTGCTTGTGTGGCGATCGAAACGTCGTGATCTATTATTTGTTTAATTTTACAAATGATAATTTTTCCTTTCACCAAGTCCTCATGAAGTTCATCTGAATATACCGTATGTAACAATAGGGATAGCGGTTCCCCAAGTCGGCGAGTTCTTGGTTGATCACAAGAGTTGTTTTGTCCTTGTGGCAAGAATCATGGACCAATCCAGTAGGGCCAACCAGGGGTCTCACATTAATTAAGAGTTTAAAATAACAATATAACACAAAACTGTTCAAGTATCTACTCCATGACGTAATTATAAAAAAAACACAACACATGATGTGCACATGTTGTGTTGTGGGCTACAGGGTTGAGAACGGTGCATTCTGTTGTACTGTACCACTGCCCCTAAGTCTATGCTTCACGCATTCATCAACTTGCACTGAATACAGTGGTGATATATGGTCACGTAACCCAAACGACCAGAAGGGTGCAGGGAGCCCTCATTCGGCAGTGGACTGACAAACGCCTGTAAGTGTACATGCTTGTAACCCTTCAGCAACAATCGACCAAGCTGCTGAATAAAACCCTAGCACTCACAATTTTGCAGTAACATAGGCCCCATTGTTGATTAAATGGATCCAGCAACTAAATCTTATACAACCCAATTGAAATATTTCACGTTTATTAATACTTCACAGCAGTGCATTCAGAACATACAACGTAAAATTATTAAAGTAAAATAACGTTGCAAATTACAGTGAAAATTAAATCACGGTTGGCCATAATATTCCACAAGGCAAAACAAAATATTTCACAAAAAAAATAAAGCCGACACGTACTGTTTTTCACGGTGTGAAGGACAATATGCACAAAAACAGTCAAAACTCTGATATAAAAGGTAGCTGAAATAACAGAGGAAATCACTAAATTAAACAGGATTGCTTTCAAGAAAGTATTTCCAGTACAGCAGTTTGAAATTAAAAGAGTGCAGTGTTTTGTGAAACTGCTGTAGACATAGAATTCGTAACGATGAGTAAGGGCTTTGAGAAGCACTGCTACCCATACTCCAGTCATATACTGCAGACTCAGTCCCAGCTTGTAAGGCATCCTTATACACTGCACTGTCACATTTTGTCTGAACACTACAAAGCATTAGAATGATCCTCTGACGAGGATAAATTATTTATGCTGATAGTCCAACCAGAGCATTTTTAACCACACACCCACTTGTAACAAGGCAAGCAAGTACGGTGGATTGAAATTGGAAGTAAATTTTTGGCTAGCTAATACATGTGCTGTTGAAATCCATTCATAAGGATGTTCATACTGTTGTCTACCACACAAGTCTCACCAGTGACATTAACAGCTGCTGTTTTTAAACCACAATGTCGAGCCACTGTCAGTGCTCGATGTTAAAATGTATGATAAAAGATGTGAATCAATTTCCAATGTAATTAATTTCACTGCCATTACAAACGAGGCCACGTTACTTATCGATGCAAACTGTAACGCCTAGTCTCCCATATCGGAAGTCTATTCTGAGAAACTGAGTAATATTCCTGCATGTACAATGTTCAGAGGTACCAATAACGCCGTGCATTTCAATTTAGGGAGAAATAACTAAACCAACCAACAATAGGCACTGCCAAACCACCAGCTTTCATTTCCCATATTTAAAAACGATTTCTCAATACTTGCACGTGATATTTCGCAATGTTACAACACCGCCGGTGAAGGGTCATGTTATTTTTCCAGAGCCTGGCCGGATGGCCTACATATTCACGAACCGTTGTAAAAAAAAATAACAGCCACAAACGTTCGTAATAACCTACTGCATATGCAGAGAAATAACCATAATAATGTCAATGCTGCCTGAGGTGGCATGCCATCTTATTTACAGCGGAATACAATTTGGATTTATACGGCGCCTAAATGCAACCGCATCTCAACACTGTGGAATAAAACAAATGTGTCCGCCATAAAAAAAAAAATTCTCAGCGTTAGGTAATACCATGGGGAAAACATACGACCAACCTGTATTTTACAGAGGGCCTCGGGCATGGCATGTCACCGAGCTAACGCGACACAAATGTCTAAAACTGTACGTACTCAAGGAAATGCTGCACGAGACATCAGAATATAAGCCGTCTGCCATGCCCACGGCAACACTAGACTTGACTTCCCAGATTGAAGGAAACCCCAGCTCAACAGCACACATACCAGGAACTGAACGCTCCACATAATAATCACTTATCCACAACAACCTGTGAAATAGCATTCGTAAAAACAATTATCTACGCTCAAAACGAGAACTTGGTAACAACAATTTTTTCACTTTCTTGCGTGAAGAGGTTTAACCAACATCATCAACGCTACGTGTAAAGCGACTGCAACACATTGTAACTTTTTGACCTCCTCATTTTGTTTAAATAGCTGAAAATCGAAATCTCACCAAAGTATGCGATATAAAAGCTGTGTTGCAACGTGGAGCTCAGGTCGGCGGTCCTGCCTCACGTATCCCCTCACCAGACTGCGCGATTTGGAGCAGGCAAAGCGGTGTCTTTAACGTTACACAGTGACGTAATTAGAGCAGCGCAAACCGACGGCGTCCTAAATTGTGTCGCCTGGTTTTTATTTGCGCGAAAAATGTGAACGCTGCAGTGCATTGTCCAGGGGGGGAGGGTTGCGAGCCCGCAGCATTGATTGTGGACCAGCTTCACACTCGAGGCACCGTGCATTCAAATGCAACACCGTGTACTCACGCACACAACCCACACACACCCAACACAGACTTGCACGTACAACACGTGTGGATGGCATGCAACGTTACACACTTTTGCAAACAACACATGCATGCATTTACACAGCCTCGAGCACTCGGATACAAGACCCACACATTGACACGTACACTTGCGCATACACCACCTGCAATGGCTCACACCACTAGCTAAAACACGCAAGACTCAAAAAAGGGACACTTGCAATTACATAAATCACATGCACTTACACGCACACAAGAGATGCACCGACACGCAAGAAATGCAATGCATCTACACATACGACATGCATTCACGCATAAACCAAAATACACACTAGTTACACACCACGCACGGTGTCACACACGTAGTGCACACAAATCCTTCTCTTGTGCACACACGTGCACACACGCATGACACGTGCACGCCCAGAACAGGCCACTGCACGGTGCAGAAACCAATCACGTGTGTGCGGGTTCAGAGCTGTGACGGAACACGAAACCTTGGGAGAGGAAAAAGACCCCTGCACAACAACCATGACGAACACAACCCAATGGCGCAGCTCTCACGGAGGGAGTGCAGGCGGTGAAACTGCGCCGGTCCCCACGGGCCAATGTGGCCCAGGCGCCGGGCTGGACCACATTGGCGATTGGACAGTGCCCCCCCCCCCCCCATTTAATTCCATCCACCAGAGCCCATGTCAACCACGCCACTGATAATAACCACCACACTACAACCGAGATGAAGACAACCACCTCAACAACAAAAATCACTGACATTCACCATAACCATCACAACATCCCATCCACCACCAACCACATCCGTTATCACAAAACACCAAACCAGGAGCAAAAAAAACAGTCCATCCAAGACCAACACAACCACCAAGACAACTACCATGACAACAACCACAACACACCAACACGTCAACTATTACAACAAATGGCACAATAACCACAACCATATTGGGACTCAAGAACACACAAAACGACACAGCCACGACGTAACCACTGTGTCACAACCATCAAAACCATAAGATAAGACTACCGTAAGACGACACACCTAGATGGCAACCACGACAAAACCATCAGTACCACAATGACAAACCTAAACACGACCACAACAGAACCACCATGTTCGAACCATTAAAAACACAACACACCGAGCAAACTACCACGACTCACCATTAGAATCATCACGACACAACCGCTACAACCACAACACAACCACGACACTACAACCACCACCACAAACCACCATCACCACGACACAACCATCGCAACACCACGACACAACTGCGACATCACAAGTAGCACGACAAAGCCACTTGCAACCACAAGTAGAGCAACAACCGCCACAACCAATGACGCAACCATTCTGACAACCTAAAGATCATCACAACACCCATCACAAACACACCACCACTACACCAGAGAGAACACAACCACTGCGAACAGCAAGGCAACAACCGCTGGGATCAAAACAAGAGAATCGTGGCCACCACCACAACAACCACCACAACAACCAAACCACGCCGCCACGCACCGGGTAGAAGCCCCCCCCCAACCACGTTCTGTACGGGCGTCGGCAACGTCGAATCAATCAATCAATAGCAGTGGTAGCAATAATTAGCCGCGCTAACACTAAAATACCAACAGAACATGACTTTTACACGACTGACAATAGTAGTGGAAGCACAAGCGACACACATGGGCGATAAAGGAACCCGGCTATAGGTCCCGTTACAGCTGCGGCGGCGACGGCTGCTGCTGCTTCCCCTCGCTGTTGTTGCTTTCTGCTTCGCCTGTTGTTGCTTCCCCTGTTGCTTGTGTGGTCACAGGGTTCCGCTCGTGTTGTTAATCTTTACAGACGACGGCTACCCACCGTCGCCGCTTGTGGCGAGGGGATTTTTTTTTACCTCACAAAAAAATCGGGATCTGATATAAACGTGGAAAAAATCCTTTTTTTTCTTTCTCTCTCACCGCAACACGAGTAGGTATAAAAAGCGTTACCTTGGTAGTAACGGCGCTTGCAGTAGCGACAATACGAGTGGTTTTCTTGTTGACGCTGAGAAAGGATGAAGAGGCGGAGGAGGAGGACGGAGGCGGCGGCGGCGCGTTCTCCCCGCGCTCCACTTCCCACAACAAAATGGCCGTCTCCCTCAACTTTCCCTCGCGCCCACTGCGCATGCGCCGGGCGGGCGGACGGACGGGTGAGGCGGGGCCAGCGGTGGGGGTGGAGGGGAGGGGCGAAAGGATTGTGATGGGGGGCGAAGGGATTGGGGTGGGGGGTGGAGGGGGGGCGAAGGGTTTGGGGTGGGGGGTGGAGGGGGGGCGAAGGGATTGTGGTGGGGGGTGGAGGGGGGGCGAAGGGATTGGGGTGGGGGGTGGAGGGGGGGCGAAGGGTTTGGGGTGGGGGGGTGGAGGGGGGGCGAAGGGATTGGGGTGGGGGGGTGGAGGGGGGGCGCGAAGTGATTGGGGTGGGGGGTGGAGGGGGGGCGAAGGGATTGGGGTGGGGGGTGGAGGGGGGCGCGAAGGGATTGGGGTGGGGGTGGAGGGGGGGCGAAGCGATTGGGGTGGGGGGTGGAGGGGGGACGAAGGGATTGGGGTGGGGGGTGGAGGGGGGACGAAGGGATTGGGTTGGGGGGTGGAGGGGGGGCGAAGGGATTGGGGTGGGGGGGTGGAGGGGGGGCACGACGGGATTGGGGTGGGGGTGGAGGGGGGCGCGAAGTGATTGGGGGGGTGGAGTTAAAAGGCATTGCAGCCACCGTGAGAATGGAGTGCATCATGGGGTTATTATTCTTAATTATTCCGCTTGTTTACCCAGGAAAGCCTCACCGAGTCTCGTGACACTGTTTTTCAAAGAGGGTCCTGCCAAAGTTGTTAGTATTGGAGTAGAAGATTGACGGGGGCGGGGTGGGCATTAGGGTCAGGCATAATAGGGTGGAGGGGTATATGAAGTAGTGGAAGTTTGAGGCCATCGATCAGATCAGAGGGCATGAGTCACAAGGTACAGGGCAATACGTCACAGGACATGGGGTTTGGAGACACGGGGCGTAGGGCATTGGGTACATGAAGTACGCCTTGAGTATTTAATGAATGTTTAAAATGATCAAGTACTTTACAATAATACAACAGGCGATGCGTTTGTAACACAAACCACGAGACGCAGAAACCACGGAAATCCACAAGCCAGTTGCAGATATAAGCTTACAATAAAACGATCCGGCGCATCCAACCCATGTAATAATACACTGGCAAATGACCTGGTCTGGCTGCCTCAATTGTACAGTAAAGACGTGTACACGCCTATCGCATGGCGTAAACCCACTGGTACATGCACACACGCACTGCGCGAAACCCACAGAGAGATAGATACCCGGGCACGCCAGGCACGAGATGCGGGCGCCATGTACTCATGCGTGTCCGGCTAACTCGCCACGCGGTCCTGCGTGCGTCCGTCAAACTCGCCATGCGGTTGTGCACGTGCTCGGGTAACTCGCCACGTGGTCCAGCACGTGTCCGGCTAACTCATGACGGATGAACACGCGGCTCAAACGAGGAGAGAGGTGCCGGGAGAGATGACACTTGTTAAGCGGAACTCCGGCGTCAAGAGAAACATGTCAGCGAGTGTCTCCGCGGAGATGAACATCAATTACAGTGCCCGCGTCTGGTGCTGCACAGCCAACCCCATAGCGTCGTGGGCCGGAGTTGGCGGTGGTGTGCGGGGCAGGCTGAGCCCCCCTCCCCCTCCTCCAGCCCGCCCCCCCTTCTGAAGGCTTTGCCCACCGACTGAATTCCCATACCGTAGTCAAGTCAGAAAATGTTGGTGCAGCATTTAATACCAGCGGTCGTTTTTTCTTCAAGAAGGGGTAGGGATGTGAATCGGATTTCAGATAAATAAATAAAAATATCTAAGCCACTAGTGCAAATTATAATTATAATTACGTCGCTTTAATAATTGTACCTCATTAGTCCGATAAATAATCTCAATCTCGGGCACAGCTAGATGCGAAAATATTGACGATCCGCAAAAGAAAATGTTGGTTCGGATTGATCCGAAAATGTGAGGTCGTTGTCACTGCGTTTGTGTGTTTAGCTTGCTGTCCTTCCCCCGGCACCTCAGATGAGCACGATGGGCTACGTACGGTGCGAAAGAAGTTCAACATCCTACACGCATATATACGTGTCGCCGATCCATGGTGCTCCCAGTGCCGGGCACCACCAGCTGCGGCGAGAAGCAGGCCGTGACGCACAGGACTCGGCGGACAGCGGCTGAGACGTGGCTGACCCTGGCCACCCGCCTCCCGCAACCCGAGACACAAAAAAAAATCGATGGGCAGATATTTTTAAACGCTGCTCGAGAGTAAGGCCGCTCGACTGTGAAGAGATGCACGCGTTCCTGAAGTCTTCAGCCATGACCACCATGGCTGGCTTCAATCGCGATGGTGTGGCTTGCCGGTTTAGGTGGGTTTGTTGGGGGGGATGATGATGGTGGAGGGGGGGAGGGGCTGACTCAACCCATCAACCCTCCGGGGTCGATACAACGTGTATCACTTTGTGGGGAAGTCAAGAAGCGGTTGTGCTATGGATAAACTCGGCCCCGCCAGAGGAACTCGGAATGTCCACCAAAGGTTCAGGACTGTGAACGGGAGATGAGAACCAATGCCTCAATGCTCATTCGAGCAGCAAGAAATCGTGACATCACCATATTGACAGGACACGCGGGAAAACGAGACAATTCCGGTTTTTTATTATTCCGATTTTTTTTTGGGGGGGGGGGGGGGTTCAGATTGCCTGAAATGTCTTGGTATCTTGGCCTGATGTTGACATTATTCGGATTAATCTGAATAATATCAGAAGCACGTCCCTTGGTATGCATCTTCACGTAAGGAGTGCAAATACCTCACCAACAAACAATAGCCGATCATTCTAACAGACTTTACGTTAAAAAAAATGAACAAAATGGGTTAACTAATGATTTTCCATCTCAAATGACGTCAGACTCTGAAGGGAAAAACCCTTACGAATTTGCATTCTCGACCTGGGTAACATACCCAGGTGAAATGTTCCATTACCTTGCTCAATAATAGACATGGACACATTTAACAGTTGTAAAACATAGAGAGACAAGCTTGGAATTACACTCAAAAGACACAGAGCGGAGAGCAGGTGGATTAGACAACGCGCGCAGGTTCAAGGCGAAGTAATTAGGCATGGTTAGATTACATTGTTGATGATGATGATAACAGATTACTGTATGGGATGATAGCCCACGGTTAAGACCAATGACGCAGCGGCGGCCAAAAGAGGGGGGGGGGGGGACATTCCCGAATTGGCATCCAACCGCAATGATTGAACAATGAGATCAGCCGTGTGTGGCAGGTTGCCAGACAGATTGATGCATTGCCGGACCATGTGAACGATGGCAACGGCTCGAGTAAGCCTTGATCCAGCAGCGGATTGATCATGGCTGGAAGACGAAATTGATGATGAAACATGAACGTACAAAAAGGGGTTAAAGCAATTCTTACAAAGGCGTCACGTTCGAAAATACTATAATTGACCTCGAGTGTGACGCAGGGTGCTTCGAGATGCATTCTCTCTGGAGCCAAGCTTGTTCAGAGTGATGCAGGGGACACTGAGGGGCACGGCTGTTGCTGCTCTTGCTGCTGCTGCCAGAGACAGCTAACTCACGCTGTTCCGAAGTGGCAGTAATAGCATCGCATTTAACACTTTGCAAAATGTTACAATGGGTGGCCCATTCTTACGCGGTTGTGGAAATGCCACGTGCTTTTTTTGGTTGCTTTTTCGCCGCGGGAGGAAGTGGAGATGGACTTTTACAGCGCGGGCTTAGGCTCGCCCCGTTTAATTCCATTTGATTCCAAGTCACGAGCAACATGACGGGAGGGTGGGGGGAGGTGGAGGCAGTGTCAAAATTGGCCCGGGAGATAGAAACACTTACACAATGCACTTTAAAGTGTATGTTTTTGCGTAACCAGGCGGTGAGAACTCAAGAGACCACGTGATGAGTCTCGTTTTCAAGTGTGACCGACCTGGGTCACCAAAATGACAAAAGCAAGAACATGTAGAGAAAAAACCCACAAAGTATAACAATGAAGCAAATTGAAATGAGACAAAAAAAACAACCGCGACAACACAACTAGCTACGAGGGGTGCAGGCGGTGCAGCTGTACGGGGGGGGGGGGGGGGGGTCAAAGTCGTGCCTAGGGGTCAGGGGAGAAGGGAGAGTGGGGAAGCTAAGTATGAAAATTAATAAAATAAAAATGAGAGCACAAAACAGCCGTGGCAACACAACCTCCGGTGGCACAGCTGCGAAGGGTGCAGGCGGTGCAACGGCACAAGGGCGTCCAAGGGCAGCCAGGGGTCAGGGAGAGTGGACAGATGTTTTGGACAGGAGGTGCCATTGAATTCCTTGCGCCAGGATTCCTGGCAGCCGCAGTGGGCCAAATGGCTTCAAGAGGCCCTTACGACGGCCACGAGTCTCTGGCCTCTCCACCCCGCACGAGCGCTTCGATTCCTTGAAGCCCCGTGGAGCGTAACGCTTCACGCCCTCCACCGTGGACGGCTCACGCGAGGCGGCAGACGCAAGTGCGCGATACAGGGGCCAAATCGGCGCGAGTGATTGCTGCCTTCTCGCCGTGAGTTGCCTCTGAGAGGAAACGGTGAAAGTTCGCGCGGGGCCTGCCGAGTCGCGCTGAGCAATCGCCCCTCTCGTTGACAGTGGTGTGGCGTGGCGTAGCTGGCCGTGGTTGAGATTGTGGCCCTCTTGCGAATTAAACGTTGCACGTCACCCCGACTCATGATTGGGTATTGTAAGAGCCTCTTCCCTTAATCGTCTTCGTCTGCTGAGATGTTATTCGTCTCCTCGCCGATCTCGTCAAGGAGCACAACACCATCACGCAGACTCCGCTCATCCTCACAGCAGCGGCTTTTGGCTCGCCATCGAGCAAAGACGGCCACTGCATCGCTGCGCTCTAAGATGCGCTACTGTGGCAGCCCAGAACGTACACAATCAGCAGGGGATCAAATACTTTTTCCCTCACTGTATGTGTGTTGTGAGTATGTACGTTGAATTTCTGTCGCACAGTACGGAGCCAAACCGGGATAATCGGTTGGCTACGAATCGCTCTTTCTTTCTTCTAA